CATACACACACACACCTCCCCCCACCCCCATCGCTGAGTTCTGACCGCCAGCCCCACTGCTCCAGGTTGTGCCGCAGTGGTGCGTTCTCTTCTCGAGGAAGGAAGTTTCCTCTGTCCTTAATCTAGTACAGTTCCAGCCTTATTTTTCTACTCCAGATTGCTGATTCTTCCTCTATGTTAGAGACCAGTGCATGGTGCTATAGCTGGCGGATCGGGGGCAGCGAGCAGCTTCGTGCCCCCCCCACAGCCCTGCCTGCCCCACGCCTGCCAACAGTGCTCTGCCCAGGGGGGTCCAGGAGAGTCCGTATGGGTCCTTGTGGGTCTGTGTGGGTCTGTGGGTCCATATGGGTCCTTGTGGGTCTGTGTGGGTCCATGTGAGTCCAGGTGGGTCCTTGTGGATCTCTGTGGGTCCATGGGTCCGTATGGGTCTGTGTGGATCCGTGGGTCCATATGAGTCCATATGGGTCTCTGTGGGTCCATGGGTCCATTTGGGTCAATATGAGTCCATATGGGTCTGTGTGGATCCATGGGTCCATATGAGTCCATATGGGTCTGTATGGGTCCATGGGTCCATATGAGTCCATATGGGTCTGTATGGGTCCATGGGTCCATTTGGGTCCATATGAGTCCATATGGGTCTGTGTGGATCCATGGGTCCATATGAGTCCATATGGGTCTGTGTGGATCCATGGGTCCATTTGGGTCCATATGAGTCCATATGGATCTGTGTGGTTCTGTGGGTCCGTATGGGTCCAGGTGATCCATATGGATTTGTGCAGATCCATCTGGGTCCAGGTGAGTCCCTGTGGGTCTGTGGGGTTCCATATGGGTCCATATGTGTCTGTGGGGTCCATATAGGTCCCTGTGCATCCCTGAGGTTTCAATCCCTGCTGCACACCCGCTGGTCACAACCCCACAGAGCCGCCGCCCCATTGCTGTGCTGGGGGGTGCATTGGTGACAGCAGTGATGTGGGGCAGGGCTGGGGCTGCTGGGGGGCTGTCGGTGTCTCCTCACGAGGTGAGAAAACCCCCAACCTCCTTTTATTTTTCCCCTTGTTTTTAATCTTTTTTTGCCCATCTCTCGGGTGGGCGCTCGTCGTTCTGCAGACCTTTTTCTATCGCCTGGGTCGGAGCGAGGGACCCGAGGGCTGCTCTGTGTTGGTGAATGCATTTGCCAAAAAGGAAAACAACAACAAAAAGTCACATTTTGGGGCCTTTTTCAGTGCTCACAGCGCTGCCCTCCGTGCAGAGCCGTAAATAGGGCTGGGGGGGGGGGATGACAAAATGGGGGGGAGGATTCCCTCCGCTGAGCGCTGATGAAGTCCTCTCTGAGACTTAAAGATAACAAATTTACTCCATGGGAAGAATCCCCGCCCCATCTCCACGCTCTTTGATTTCTCTCTGCTCTGTGATTCTCATTTGCCAAACTCTGCTGTCGGTGTCCAACGCCGTCGGTGGATGGGGGGAGGGG